TGGGAGTGGGGGTGGGCAGAACCGGGCCCAGCCGGGAGGTCGCCCCCCCCGCCCCACTTTCTAGCTGGAAGCCTTCACCTTTTCCCGCCCAGGCACCACCTGCTGCCCAGAGCCGGGAAGATCAGAGCCAGCCAGCCGCCAGCGCTGAACTCTCTCCCCCCCTCCGTGGGTCCTACCCCCTCTCCCTGCTGGCGCATCAACTCTTGGGTGCTTCTGGTCCCTGTGGAGAAGTAGATCTCTTGAGCTCAGGCCTGGGGACCTGCTCCATACAAAGGTCCTCCTTTGCCCAAAGGACTTGTTAACATCCTTCAGAAGGGACGGAGGCCTCCCTCCCGCCTTTTATCTGCCTCCCCCCCCCAAAAAAATGTGGCCTCATCGGCTTAAGGAGCTTCTCTGTATGCGCTCTGGAAGCTAAAGGTGACAACCTCAGGACAACACTGGCAGACATGTTGTGGACAACACTGCCAGGGGTGTGTTCTGTATCTACACAGATACACACATAGGGGATCTCTGGTTGTCCTCCACTTTCCATACTGGATTTCTGAAGAAATCACCTGTCTCTGCCCAGGAGAAATCGCTTGCTCTCCCCTATGCACTACCAAGGAACAATGGCCAGGTTTCTCATGGCATTTCTGTGAGAGCTGAAAACACATCTTATGAACAACTATTGAGATTTGGAAGGTGTAACCTCTGAGAGATGCACAACTGGAACACATTTTTTCACCTGGCATACTTTTCTCCACCCTGCTGTGCAGGACAAATGTGACATGTGAAGAGATTCCATACCCCCCCCCAACCCAGAGATTGCCAGTAGAGGTTCATGGCTAAGTGAGATGTAGGACAGCCTCAAGATGTTTTGCTGATGGAAGCCTTTTTCATGCAATGTGCAGAAAGTCACTGGGGTGACAGGCAAATTTTGTTCAAACACTGGAAATGGGATAGAGTCCCCCCAAAAACAAATGGGGAGATATAAGACAGGTCTGGTATCATGTCGTCTAAGACAGTGGTTCTCAAACTGGGGTCGGCAGATATTCTTGGACTGCAACTCCCAGAAATCCTGGCCAGCACAGCAAGTGGTGAAGGCTTCTGGGAATTGTACCAAGAACATCTTGGGGACCCCCCATCTTGGGGACCGTACAATCCTTCATGGATTGCTGCCTTGTCGTAGGTGGGCTGCATCTGTTCAGCATCTGTCACTTGAAGCTGCCTCTTCCCTCTGACCTAGGGGCAGCTTGTGGGTCAAGAAAGGGAGCCCATGACCCAAAATTTCAGGTCCACACTCTTCATTCTGGTTATGAGTCACATGTATTCTGACCACAGGGATTATGAGCCACTGGGCATAGGGAATCTCCTGTCCAGATCTACATGTTGCCTTCACTGATGATCACCTAATATCATTTGGAAGGTAGAGTGAAGACCCATTGCTAAGATCAGAAGAACAAAGAACATGTCGGACCAGACCAAAGGTCTATCTTTTCACCATCCTGCTTCCGACAGTGGATAGCTAGACAGGTTTGGTTCAAGATATTTCCATGACAGGCAGTAGCAGATTTGTTTCTTTGTTAGTTCTGGAAATAAAAATGAAATAATTACAGACACATAACCTGGTGCACTTTCAGGACACCTCAAATCTGCTGCTTGGGGCACCTACTTCACTCTTTCTAATGACATGGCCAGCCCTATAGCCAAATAGTTTTAAAGATGGTGTGGGAGTCGATGATGAAGTTAAAAGCCTTTCCCTGCAGCTGCTTTCCAATAATTTGCATTGAGTAGCTTTCAGACATGGAAGTTCCATATAGGCAATATCCCAGTATTTGTGTCAGGTACATCAAAGTATGTCCGTTGCATCAGACATGGTAGTATGAAGAAGTCAAAGCTGTCAACCAAATAATACAATACTGAGCAATGTGCCCAGTAAGTGATGAGCTTGCCTTTGTGCAGGGCAGTTTCCAAAGTTAACTCTATTGTATTGTATCTAGTTTATGCTCTTTGACATCTATGTTGTAATTTACTGAACCACTCTGGATTGTTTTTATTGTTACATGCCATCAAGTCACCTCTGACTTAAGGCAATCCTCTGAGTGAGTGATCTCAAAAATGTTCTGTCCTCAACAGCCTTGCTCAGTTCTTGTAAACTTAAGCCTGTGACTTCTTTAGGGAAGACTCCCTTAGGGAATCTGTCCTTCTTGTATTTGGTCTTCCTCTTTTTCTGTTGCCTTCAACCTTTTCCAGCATCACTGACTTTTCTAGAAAATCTTGCTTTCTCACGATGTGCCCAAAGTAGGAGAGCCTTCTTTTTCTTTCTTTCTTTCTTTCTTTCTTTCTTTCTTTCTTTCTTTCTTTCTTTCTTTCTTTCTTTCTTTCTTTCTTTCTTTCTTTCTTTCTTTCTTTCTTTCTTTCTTTCTTTCTGAGAAAGTACAGGCTCCATTTGCCTCACTTATTTGTCTTTCTGGCAGTCCAAAGTATCTGTAAAGCTACTGTAAATAGTATTTACAATTTTTAGAGTACTGTATTTTCAATTGTATTTCAATTGTTTTATATTTGTATCTTTTATTATATTTAAATTGTAAGCTGCCCAGAGACCTTTGGGTAGTGTGAGCAGCATATAAGTTAAATGAATGAATAAATAAATGAATGAATGAATGAATGAATGAATGAATGAATGAATGAATAAACAAATAAACAAATAAACAAATAAACGTATAAATAAATAAATAAATAAATAGCTGGCATTTAACATTACATATTCCCGTTCTCTCTCCCCTCCCCCTTCTCAGGCACAAAATCCTACATCCATTAATCATTAGTAACTATTCTTCACATTATCTTTCCTGATGATTTCTGCTGAAAGCAGTCTTGTGAGGTTTCCTGCCTCCTTCACTTACATGAGAGCCCATGTGATGCAGAGGACACAGCGTCACATTAAGATTCAGGAGACCTGTGGCCACATCTCCACTTGGTCATGAAACCTCATTTAGGAGGATGGCAATGATAAGCCACCTCTTGAACATCTCACCTTGCGAACTATATTAGGATTTTCAGGTGTCAAATATGACTTAATAATGAATAGCAGCTCTCCTCCTCAGAGCAAGAGCCACCTATACCTCTGTAGGAAGCACACCTAGGATTGTAGTCAAAATCTCATCAATTTTTCTTTTAAGGACTTGTGAATCAAAGATTTGCAACAAATACATCATCATTACTGTGTGACAACAAGTCAATCTCTTATATTCTTACAGTATCAATGAAATAATACAATTAGAGTAGGGCCATTGAATAAATCACCAAATCCCTACTGTTTCAATAGGCCTGCTCTGTTCGTGACTTGCTACACCAAGCAACAGGATTTCAGTCATTGTCTTACTGTGAAGTGTATGCTACCTCCCCTCACAGAATGAACATTTTTGGAATACATATGACATCTTCATACTAGCATGTCTGATCCTGCCAAAATTCCTGCTTGGTCATAGAAACTCGCTGTGGGGTAGCTATGGTGAAACCACTCCTTGAGCGTCTGACATGCTTTGAGAATTGTGTTACGATTGTCATAAATCACAAAACGTTCAATGGCATGTAAACAATTGGTCCTACGCACACCCCTCCTTCTCCTCTTGTAGCTGCTGCTGTTGCCTTTGCAATATCTTGCATCCACTCATGTCACATCATCAAAATGGTGTTCTCTGTTTTGGTACTGAAAGCAAACTCTTGGGCTGAGGCAGTGCTCTAGGTACCCTGTTCTGATGCACTTTGGGGAGGGGTCTCCTCTGGGCATGGCCTTATCTATGGGTGTTCAGAGATGCTTGGGGGGTGGGGGTGGTCTGATCCATCAGGTGTGCTTCCCCAAATTCTTGTCATACAGAAGTGACTATAGTCTCCATCATCCCCAGCCAGCATGGCAACTAGACCTGCTGGCTGGAGAGGATGGCAGTTTTAGTCCAACATTTCTGGAGACAGCAAATCGTGGACGGCAGTTCTAAGTGTTTTCCTTTTTCCTAGTCTAGCATTTATTTTAAATGGGTTGGTTGGCATTTTAAAGAACCCTGCCACCAAAAAAACAGTGTACATCTACACATACACATAAACAAACGTCAACCTATATTTTCAAATCCTTCATGTCATCTTAAAAACGTATGGATCTTATATGGACACTGGCATTCCAGCAAAAATCCTGCTTGATTTCTGTCAACTCTTATACAGTACTAATTCTTTGAAACATGCCTGATAACATCCTCTCACCTGAATTACTCACTTAAAGGGTTTTCCTTTCTCTCTACCCTGCATGGTACTCTT